AATTTACAATCAAAAATTACCATTTTTAATCCTTATATCCGAAAAAACATTTGAATATACAATAAATATCGTAAATTAACATTGTATAATAATGTGAAATAACACACAAATTTCTTGTAATATTTGGAATAAAAATTCAAAAAATAAATAATTACTTATTACTATAAATAACTTTGCCGCCTTGCATTTGATTTGACAAAAAAATGCAAAAATCTGCCTTTCATCAGAACTCGAAAAATAAAACAAATTTTCAAACAGTGAAGTCATCACCATTGGAAACAAGAGATTCAGATGACCAAAAGCACTCTTCCCTCCATTCCAAGCTAATGAAGTTTCTCACACACCATCCTCAGAATTGATCTTGCTGGTCGTGATCTCACAGACTACCTCATGAAGATCTTGACTGAGAGAGGTTATGCTTTCATTACAACTGCTGAAAGAGAAATTGTCAGAGACAACAATGAGAAGCTCTGCCATGTCGCTCTTGACTTCAACGAAGAAATAGAAAAGGCTGCCTCATCATCAGAACTCGAGAAGTCACATTAACTTCCAGATGGTCAAGTCATCACCATTGGCAATGAAAGATTCAGATGCACAGAAGCACTTTCTCAGCCATCATTTTTGGTATTGAAGCATCAGGTATCCACGAGACAATTTACAACTCGATCATGAAGTGCGATGTCACATCAGAAAGGACTTGTACGGAAACATTGTTTTGTCTGGTGGAAAATCAATCCAAAAATCAATGACAGACATGAGAAGGAGAAAGTTGCAAATGAAACACGAATAAGCATAATCAAGGCTGTTCATGCTTGGCTCAATTTAATTATATTCATATTGGTGTTTATTTGGTTTAGTTTTAATATTATTATAATTATTGTAATAATCAATTATAAAATATAATAAATTTACTATCAGTTAAATTATTCACAAGTGATTATTATAGTTTATTTATAATTAAAATTACTATACAATTTATTAGTCTATTGTCACACATTGTATAATGTATCCAAAATTGCTATTTTTCTCGACTTAAATTAATGTTTTATAGTGTTGTTTTACCTTAAAAGATAATTATTTAATGTTATTGTTGTGTTAGATGAATAACAAACAAAATTAATAATAAGCAGTGGGTTTTTATCGTAATATTTTGATGTTATTTGGTTCTCCAAGTATTTTTAGTTTGAGTGGAATCCATTTTTTTTATTTCAACAATTGTATTTTTGTTATGTTTCTTATTTTATTTTGGTTTGAACCGATATTATTGGTTGTATCAAACCCACAATCTTGCACACTTTTTAAGTGTTTTTTATTGTTTTTTGAAAAACTTGAATATCTGATAATATTATTTAATCAATTTTATTAACATTTTTATTTGTTTATGAAAACAGTTTATTTTCGTATTATTTTTATTACTGATATTAATTTGTTAAATTATATTTTTAATTGATTGAAGGACAAATCTTTAACAAAAACCAATTAATTTGAGTTTATGAATGATGAAATGTATTATATATAATTTAAAAGTTTGAATTTAAGTTGAACTATTTTATCAAATAAGTCAATAATCATTCTAAATTGTTCATGAAAAGTCGCCATTATTTTCATTTTTTGGAAAAGTGAAATTTTTTTCTGAAAAAAATTTTAAAAATTTTTGTCCTCGAAGGGTTTATATTAAGTCACAAACAATTGTGTATATATTAGAAAACGGTGTTTCAATTATTCACATAACAAAGTTATCAACACGATAACATTTTTTGATAAATAAATTAATAATGAATTGACAATAGTAAATACAGACATGATTGTTGAATTATATTTCCAGTTAAAAATGATTGTTTATGATATTGTTATTTTCCAATATTGATTGTTTCTTATGTGTAATTTATGTGACATTTTGTTAAAACCAAGAAGAATCAAATATAAATTATTAATTTTATTGTGTAACAGTTTCATTGTTCATATATTTCATTTGAAAGATTTTCGTTGATAACTTTGTATAAGCGAAATATTATTTACACTTAATTTTTAAAAATAGTTTAAAAATAAAATGTGGTAACTTTTTATTGTAAAAACACATAACATCAAACCAAAAAATTAAAAGTTAACACATAAAAAAAAGAATATAAGAGTTTACATCAATTTTTGTTATTTACTTGTGTTTCAAAGATATTTGCACAAAAGATATTCAAAATGATTTTAAGGTTTAAGTGTTAACAACAATATAATTAAAAATAATGTTTGAAATTGTTCTTGTGGTGTTTATATACTTTCCATATTATACATCTAAAAAATGCAAAAATGTGAAGTTTGTTATTCTTCTCGCGAATATCCAAGTAATATAAACAAAACCGGCAGACCATTTACAATTATTTATTACGAAAGTGTCATTATTGTGGTGTAATTAACTGTTGATACCAATCGTTTTGAAAAACAAAAAAAATTCGACAACCAAGCATTTCTTT